TTTTTTTTTTTTTTTAATACTTTTAGTGCATTTTCTCTCTTAGGCCATTTCCTTGGTTATCCAATTCTCCCACGGGATTAAAGTATAGCAGCAGTCCAAGGTCTTTATTTCTTATGACTGGGAGGAGAGAGGCAAAGCTCCCCCCCTGCTTAAAGTTGAACTTGAAAATGTGTCAGGTTCAACTTAGTTTCCCAAAATTAAATGGTTACATGCTTAGGTTTTCATCTTATAAAAATCAAAACAATTTAAACAAGTTACCTGCTGGTGGAAAAGATCCTCCTCTTCAACTGGCTCAATTGCTTCTTCTTCAGCTTCCTCCTCTTCACCTTCACGTAAAATTGTTTTGAAGACAGTGCTTCTCTGAGCAACTTCCTGCAATAAAATTAGTTAAATTAATTGTTGTGAAATCTAATTTCATTAAGTCTAGAGATATTGTGCACTTAGTTCAGGTATCTTTTTTATTCCTACCTGAAAAAAATGGGAATATACACACAAGTTGCCTTTTCAGAGGGCTTTCCTATGAAATTCTTTTAGTCTACTAGGTCCCATGAAAATCTGAGTCTAACTTTTACATTTTTACGCCCCTTGTTGCATTTCCTGTTTTAAGTACTTCTGGTATCCACTTCTTAAGTATCAGAACTGTTCCTCAAATTGGATGCATTTATTTAAAACCATGGTGTCTTGCACCCTACTTGAACAGATGAATGGTCACCAGAAGAAACTTTATTCAGCTGCACAAGATCTTAAACATCAGAGCTAAGCTACAGAGTTCATTCTTCTGAAAATATATGGGGTAGGAAAAGTTTGTACGAGTAAAAGACAATGGCTTGGAGCATTACCATGAAACGTAAGACCATCATGACATGGAAGTCAGTCTTAAGATTACTCTCAGACCCACACGATTCTACCTCACTTATCTGTAGTAAACTACTGTTTCTTCACCCAAAGTCAGTCCAATGAGCAAGTCAGAATGGGTTTAACCATGTCTAAAAGTACTTTACCTCTCCCTGAGAGTTTTTCAATATAACTTTCACATCTTCGCCAGTTCCCCAGGAATTCTGGCTCTTCCAGATGAGGTCAGAAGGAGGGCTGGCAGCTACCCCAGCATTTGCAGCCCAGATCTAGAGAAAGGAAGTCAGAATCCAACCTTAATGGAAAAAACTTTTATACAATATATTTGCATTTATGGTTACAGTATGAACAAATGGATTAGGTGTAATAATCCAATGAACTGCTGTTCTTAAGAAGGAGTCTTATAAAACACTGGCTGTATACTTTTAAAGGACCTACATTTACCTCTACATACTGGATGGTTCAAAATGGACTGCCACTTTTGTGAATATAGGGTCAAAACTGAAAATGCACAAAACATCTGTAACTATGACTCCCTGTCAAGAGGTTAAAGAGAACCCAATCATCTTGCCAAAAAACTAATGCCCTTAAAGCCGGTACAAATGCTTTCGTCTTATTTTCAGATCATTTAATAAAAGGACAAGACTGAAAACTCTACTGGATTTTCACATCTCTCTTCCTTCAAAACAGCTGTTTCACAGCTAAAAATATGAGTTCGGTTCACTTACTGTAACAGTCTGGCCTGCCTTTAATACATATCTTGAGGTATATTTGTAAGTGGCAGAAGTATCTCCTATTTTCCTGATCATCTCCCAGCCTCCCAGTGGTTGATCCTAATACAAAAAGGGGGGGAAAAAAGATTAAATTTCTATCAACTACATAATCTTCTGCAAAGCAAACAGAACACATTCTCAAGCCATTCAACCACTGAACTAGCTGTGGAAAGTTTCCTGTAGTAATATTTGTTATCACTTTCTTCTCATAGTTACCTAGATTGCTTTTGAATTTAATCATAGCAAATTGCCCCAAGTCAGTATTGAAGATTACGCAAGTTGGCAAAGATTTTGTTTTGGTGTCATTGGCCATTTAAGCCAATACTTCTTTACAACTAGATTTCAATATTATGCATCTCATGAAGCAATTATAAACATTTTTGTTTTGGAATCAAGTCTTGCATACAAACATGCTTGATTTCCTGGAAAACCAGAATTCTCTGGTCTGTCAGTTTTGTAAGACATATACCTTTTCATGACAACGGTATGTTTGTGTCATAACAGCATTTGCCATGGTTGATTTAACACTGCTTTTCATAAGCAAAGCTAATGGAAACTGACAACACATTTATAGTGTCTGTAGAATAGCTGTTTCCCAAAATTATATGCAGAATTTAAGCTTTTGTTTTTAAAGATCTTATTCTTCTGCCATTTCCCAAACAGCAAATCAGCCTACCTTCATAAGTATGGAGACCAGCTGAAACATGACCATCCTATTTATCTCATGCAAGTCAGAGCTGGCTGATCCATATCAAGTTATGAACTTCATTTTCAATTGTAAAAAACAGGTCTATACTTGTATGAGGGTAGAAACTTATTGCACTGCGTCCTGGACAGTCTTTCCTGAAATGGTGACCAAAATCACCTCACTATAATAGAGAACTATTACCACTATAAATAACTCATATACTTACTCCCCACCCCCAAATACAACAGTTAGTTTAATACACAGGGGTCCAAATGAGGGGGGCTAACTTACAAAGCTGAAACTCCAAAAAATCAGTCTAGCATCCCACACCCAAAGAAGTCTGAGCCTTGAGTCTAGCCTAAATCTAGCAGCTACAAAAAAAACCTAGAGGGAGAGATTCTGGACTCCCTAGCACACACTGAATATCTTTTTAGGTTTAGCTCAAAGCTGTTCAGGAAACATGCAACACGTTATTTTTAAGACTTCACAAAGCCCATGCCTTTGCTTCCACTAGCACATGTTCCTGAAGACAAACTGTAAAGCCAGTCTACTCCCAGTAAGCATGTCCCTAAGCTACTTGGAAAATCTGAGGTAGCCAGCACCTAGGGCACTGGTCTTCAACCTTTAGTCAAGGCACCCAGCCACCACTTGACAATCCTGGATGACAACAACTATTAGTGCTGCGTGAGCTTACCCGAGCACTTCCCAGCTGGGTTCTGCTGCTGAGAAGGGCTGTGCCATGTGGACATGCTCCTCCTGTATTAGGGCTCCGATCAGCCTAAAGCAGGTAGGAGCCGCCTTGTGCTGCACAGCTCTTGCTGGTCCAGTACCCCTAATGCTCTCCCCCGACTACGGATAAAGAAGCAGATGGGGCAGTTCCACTTCCAGTCCTGTCCCCCACACTCCATCCTCCCCCATAGGAGGAGCATGGTAGGGGTGGGGAAGATAGCTGATTTAAGTTGACATTCTCTAATACAGGGAGAGCAGGGGCAGAACATGCAGAGCAGTTTTACCTGCTACCACAGCACCCAATTGACAAGAACTGACATATGGCAATTGAGCCACCACATCCCGTTGCCATGAAGGGATAAGAAAAGTTTGAGCCCAAGAAGAATGCTAGGTAACCTTGTGGGTAAAAAGACAATACATTCATCTACTTGGACCACAAAGAGTATTTAAAGAGCACAGGGATCCAGCTTGATAGGATCAAACAGACAACCAGGTGACTGACCTGCGATGGCAGCTCTATCAGGGTGGCAGCTTACTATGCAGATGACGAAATGACACACCCAACGTGTGCTCTGGCCTAGGTCAACAGGACCCTGATATCACTTCGGGCCTCTAGGAGCTACAGCAATATTAATAAATACAAAGTTGTCTTAAATAACCAGAAACAGTCAGTAGCATCTGCTACATATGGCACCAGGAAGAAAAACAACCCCAAATGAGAGTACTGGTTACAGAGCATAATTTGGGATCATTATTTTAGTTCCTAACGCTAGAGCTATCTAGTTTTACCAATGTGCTTGGGCACAGTGACACAATATATAAGTCTGAAAGCCACACATGCAGCCATGAGCGTCTCCTCCTGATCAGCGTATCAGAACAAGTTAGATTTACAAACCTGCTCTGAAGTATTCTTCAAGCGGATAAATTTGCCATCCACATCTATCTCCTCAATACAAACATTTCCAGTAGCAGATGCTGAATGGGAGATGCTGACACTACTGCTGGCTTCAGATTCTTCCACATCAACTCTCTTCCTCTTTCCTCTGGTTGTGCGTATACTACGACTTGATGATGCCCGAGAGACTGTCACTCGAGAAGAAGGACTGGGAGAAAGTTTCAGCCTGGATTGAAAGGGAAAACAAACAAAAGACCCCAAAATATAACTTTAGTATACAAACTTTTTCTATACATACACAGAATAACATAGAAAAAGCAAAACTAAGTTATCACTTCTGTACTTGTGCTCAAGAAAGCGTAATTTGGCTTTATGAAACAAAGACTGCCCTTGAAAAATGTCACAGCACGCTTCTCATTGTCCTATATTGCACCAATGTCTTGGCTTGATATTTCAAGAATTTTATTACCACTTAACCCAGACCAACAAAACAGTATTCTTAATGCTTATTTGTTTTACAACTGAACTCCTTTGCCACACGTTTTAATTATTCCAACACTAAGAACTCCTTCCCTTTTTATTGTTAAGGCTGCTGAAAAGAGCACGAGCCTTTGTGAGAGTGGCCTGCAGAATTGTTCACAATATACTAGGGGTGCACTGACAGTGTTTTTTTTGGCTCAATACCGATGGCTGATTTTTAAGGAGCCGTATCAGCCAATGCCGATCCAATTGCCAAGATGCGGCCTGGCAGCTGGGAGAGTAGTGTCTGGCTGGTAAGTCTGTTGTCAGGGAAGAAGCGGGGGGGGGGGGGGG